ACTCGAATAAAGGCTAATGCTAAAATTCATACTTTCATATTGCAAGTAGTCCAAAGATAAGGGATTTTGAAATACTAGGTATAAAAATTTCGAATGTCAATGGGTAATTAGGGTTTGGTTAGTTTTTGTTCATTAATTTTGTATAAAGATATTATGTCTTAAATGAGTTATACTCTAGCAGAATCATTATTTTAATGATTCACGAAGGTTATTTTGACAGGTTTATACTACAGCAAGCCGTTAATTTATTTGTGTTGGGTATAATACATGTGGCCTAAACCTTTGAAAAGCCCAACTAATTAAGTCTCAAAATCTAGAAAAATCTTCTAAATCAAGAAACGGATGGAGAATTGTTAAAGTCTCTAGAAATATTAAATGCCCATGAAAATTCTAGATTTAACCAAAAAATATCTACATATGTGGAAGTTTCCACACAAATCTGCCACCTTTATATCCCATCTATAAATATAGGTGTTGTCATCCACTAGGGTCAATTAAGAAAAAATCCACACATACAAATAGTCCTAATCCTCCACCACACTAAAAAATTGTTTCATCTCATAAGTCTACTTAAAACTTTCTCCTTGTAATTTTATTCACTATTCTTCTAATACTCTTTTGTGAGTACTTATTATTTTGAGAGTTATTTTGTAATCTTACACCCTAACTATTAGGGTCTTTTCTCTTTTGTACTCTCATATATTTTAATATAGTGGAATTACTATAAAGTGCTCGTTGGGTGTTATTTTCTTGCCGTTTATACTTTATCAATTTCTCGATCAATCACGCTTCCGCAAGCATCCTTAACCTTACAAGTGGTATCATAGCTAAAGGTTTATAATGTCGAGCGTTACAAAGTTCGACATCGAGAAATTCGATGGCATGATAAGCTTTAGTATATGGAAAATCCAGATGCAAGTCGTTCTTATTCAGAACGGATTAAAAAAGGCTCTCGATAGAAAGCCTTCAACCATGTCTGACGAGCAATGGCAAGAGTTGGATGAAAAAGCCATGTCGGCAATCCAACTATGCTTAACAAAGGAGGTGTTACGTGAGGTGGTACACGAGGAAACTACCGCTGCCCTATGGATGAAGCTTGAGTCTCCCTATATGACTAAAAGTCTTGCCAACAAACTTTGTCTCAAGGAAAGGCTTTATACAATTTGTATGGCTGAAGGTACGTCCATCCAATCTCACCTTAATGAATTTAATTCCATTATCATGGATCTGGAGAATTTGGATGTTAAAATTGATGATGAGGATAAAGCTGTATTATTAATTGTCTCCTTACCTCCCTCTTACAAACACTTCAAGGAAATTATGTTATATGGTTCCGGTGAAACTATTTCTTTTGAGGATGTAAAATCACACTTACTCTCAAAAGAAAAATTTGACCTTGTAGTGAACAATGAAGATAAAGCTGAAGGACTAAATGTAAAAGGGAGATCTCATGAAAGACACAATACACATAAAAAGAAATTTTGATCTAAATCCAGGGGACGTAAACCGGGTGTTACCTGTCGCTATTGTAAGAAACCAGGGCACTACGTTTCTGAATGCTTCAAATTGAAAAATATAAAGGAGAAAGAAGAAAAATCTAAACAGCCTCAAAAATCCGCCGAAGCTAGTCTTATTGAAACTGACTCAGAAGGTGACTCAGTGTTACTTGGAACTTTTAAAAAAAGGGGCTTTGTTGAATGGATTCTTGATTCTGGCTACACCTATCATATGTGTCCGCATAGGGACTGGTTCACCACATATGAATCTGTTGATTGTGGTACTGTGTTAATGGGAAACAATCTTTCCTGTAAGGCTATTGGAATAGGTTCAATCAAAATCAAGAGTCATGATGGCGTTGTCAGGACATTAACTAAGGTCCGTCATATTCTTGACTTAAAACGCAATCTGATCTCACTAGGTACTCTTGAGTCTCTCGGATACAGATTCTCGGCTGAAGGTGGAGTACTGAAGGTCACTAAAGGTGCCCTCGTTGTCATGAAGGCCATGAGAAGTGGTAGTTTGTATGTCTTACAGGGACATATAGTGACAGGTTCAACAGCTGTTTCATCATCATTTCCTAATTCTGATCTAACTTAGTTATGGCATAAACGCCTTGGTCATATGAGTGAAAAAGGAATGGACATCTTGAGCAAACGTGGACTTCTCGGCTCACCCGGCATGGGTAAGCTAGAATTCTGTGAGCACTGTGTCTGCGGGAAGCAAAAGAAAGTAGGTTTCTCTACTGCTACTCACATAACTAAAGGTATTCTTGATTATGTCCACTCTGATTTATGGGGACCTTCTAGGGTTGCCTCTTATTTTGGAAAACGCTACTTTATGTCCATCATTGATGATTTCACTCGAAAAGTCTGGATTTATTTCTTAAGACATAAAAATGAGGCTTTTCTTACCTTCAAGAAGTCGAAAGCTCTTGTTGAAAACCAGACTAGGAGAAAAATCAAGAAGCTCAGGACTGATCGTGGCTTGGAATTTTGTGATGGAGAATTTGAAAAATTCTGTGCTCAAGCCGACATTGCCAGACATAAGACATTACTAGGCAAGCCTCAACAAAATGGCGTAGCTGAGTGTATGAACCGAACTCTTCTAGAAAGAGCTCGGTGCATGATCTCTAATGCTGGACTATGGAGTCGTCGTTACCTTTGGACGGAAGCCATATCTACAGCCGCATTTATAGTCAACCGTTCTCCACACTCTTCTATTGACTACTCTTTCCTAAAAGTTATTGGTTGTATCGCTTATGCTCATATTAATGATGGCAAAATAGCTCCTAGAGCTATCAAATGCATTTTCATTGGCTATTCCTTATAATCTAAAGGCTATAGATTATGGTGTCTTGAGTCTAAGAAAGTGATTCTTACTCGAGATTTTACTTTCAATGAAAATGCTACTATCAAATCCTCTGGTACGGAGTCTTCTGTTTCATCTTCTGAAACAGATAATCAGGATGATAGTAAAAAGGTGGAGTACGAAACAACTACTCAGTCTCCTACGGTTGAAATTGATGCTTCATCAGGCTCTCGTTCCAGCAATGATGATGACAATCCTCCAATTGCTACCGAGTCAAGCTAGCCACAAAGCCCTTATCAACAGTCAGATTACAATCTGATAAGGGATCGTTCAAAATGGCCTATTATAAGGTCATCAAAATATTCTGGAGATGAATATCTGCTTTCTTACGCACTATTAGTTGGCGAAGAAACTCCAGTTGAAAAAGAGCCATCCTCTTATTCAGAAGCCATCTCCGGTCCTAATTCCTCTAATTGGCTTGTGGCAATGAATGAGGAGATGGAGAGTCTCCACAAGAATGGCACATGGGACTTGGTCGAGCTGCCAAAAGGCCGAAAAGCAATTACTTGCAAATGGATCTACATACAAAAGGAAGGCATTCCAGGAGTTGAACCTGCAAGATGGAAGGCACGCCTTGTTGTCAAAGGATGTCATCAAAAAGAAGGTATTAACTTCAATGAGATTTTCTCTCCTGTTGTTCGTCATACTTCTATTCGCGTCCTTCTTGCAATAGTTGTTATGTTTGACAGGGAGTTAGAACAACTTGATGTCAAAACTGCTTTTTTACATGGTGATCTTGATGAAGAGATCTATATGAAGCAACCCAAAGGATTTGTTGTTCCTGGAAAAGAAAATCATGTTTATAGATTGAAGAAATCCTTATACGGTCTCAAGCAGGCTCCACAACAGTGGTACAAGAGCTTTGACTCATTTATGAGAAAACAAGGCTACACACGTAGTCAGTACGACCAATGTGTCTATTTTCGACAGTATGGAGGAGTCTAGATCTATTTTCTTCTATATGTGGATGATATGCTTATAGCATCTCGAGACAAGTCATTGATTAACAACCTGAAGTCTCAGCTCAACAAGGAGTTCGAGATGAAAGATTTAGGTGCAGCTAAGAAAATCCTTGGCATGGAGATACACCGAGATTGATAGGCTGGTAAGTTACTCCTTCTCAGAAAAATTACGTTAAGAAAATTCTAGATAGGTTTAATATGAGTAATTCTAACCCTTTCTTTACCCCACTTGCTGCACATTTTAAGTTGTCATTTGCATCTTGTCCACAAACGGAGGAAGAAAAGGAGAAAATGGCTAGCATTCCTTATGCTAGTGCAGTTGGCAATCTTATGTATGCCATGGTCTGTACAAGACCTGATCTAGCATATGCTGTGAGCATGGTAAGCAGGTATATACACAACCCTGGCAAAGAGCATTGGAATGCTACAAAATGGATATTTTGGTACCTAAAAGGTACTATAGATATGGGGTTGGTATTTGATAAGAACCTAACCAATTCTACTGATGTTGTTGGGTTCGTTGACTCTGACTATGGTGGTGATCTTGACCGCCGAAGATCTCTCTCCGGTTATATCTTCACTCTTTGTTCAGGAGCAATAAGTTGGAAGGCTCAATTACAACCAATAGCTGCTCTTTCCACTACTGAGGCAGAGTATGTCGCAGCAACCGAAGGTATAAAGGAGGCTACATGGTTGCGAGGTCTTGTTATGGATCTTGGTATATCACAAGGTGTCACCGTGGTATACTCCGATAGCCAAAGTGTTATCTTTCTCACCAAGAATGATGCTTATCACTTCAAGACAAGCACATCGACGTAAAATACCACTATGTCAGAGACACTATTGAACAAGGTGAAATTATGATTAATAAGGTTCATACTACAGAAAATCCGGTGAATATGCTCACAAAGCCACTTCCCATTGCTAAGTTCGATCATTGCTTGGACTTAGTCGGAGTTAATCCTTGCTAGATCTTCTGGCTCCTACTACAAGTAATCTACATATTTGGTCCAAGGTGGAGATTGTTGGGTATAATACATGTGGCCCAACAATCTTTGAAAAGCCCAACTAATTAAGTCTCAAAATCTAGAAAAATCTTCTAAATCAAGAAATGGATGGAGAATTGTTGAAGTCTCTAGAAATATTAAATGCCCATGAAAATTATAGATTTAACCAAAAAATATCTACAGTGAAAGTTTTCACACAAATCTTCCACCTAAAATATCTACATATGTGGAAGTTTCCACACATATCTTCCACCTCTATATCCCATCTATAAATATAGGTGTTGTCATCCACTAGGGTCAATTAAGAAAAAATCCACACATACAAATAGTCCTAATGCTCCACCATACTAAAAAAATTGTTTCATCTCATAAGGTTACTTAAAATTTCCTCCTTGTAATTTTATCCACTATTCTTCTAATATTCTTTTGTGAGTACTTATTATTTTGAGAGTTATTTTGTAATCTTACACCCTAACCATTAGGATCTTTTCTCTTTTGTACTCTCATATATTTTAATATAGTAGAATTATTATAAAGTGTTCGTTGGGTGTTATTTTCTTGCCGTTTATACTTTATCAATTTCTCGATCAATCACGCTTCCACGAGCATTTTAACCTTACAATTTGCACACCATGTGTTCGATAAAATGTCTAAGTGAGTTTTTGTCCGACAGTACCAAACCAAACAAGGTGATGATTGGGGGTTAGATTTGAATATTGTGATATATTTTTCGACAGTAACAAGAATGAATTTTGTTCTGAAGCTGTTTAAGTTGCAAAATTGTAGGAAGACAAGGCCTGCTGAACCTGCTTAGATTGCATGAAGGTGAGGAAAAATCAGACGGTTTTCGGAATAATTATATAGAACGAAGCTTGCTGGTTGGTCAAAGAACGTACTAAGCTGCCACCGTAGGTGCTGGAATTGAGGCAAATACAGCTCTGGATTTACCTTGTCATAAGTAAGTCCAAAATCAGTAAATGTGATGAAAATTGTAGGGGGACACAAAATATGTAGTCTTCTGAGTTTCTATTTTTTGATTGTTTCTTGAGTTATGCTTTGCTTTGTTATAAATGAAATGAATGGTATTGGAATGATATACTTCATCAATCTGGACCTTACTTAGATAGTATGCTACATCGGATCGGAGTTAATTTTACAATAATTGAGTGAGAATTCTATGACTTTTCTTCATTATTGTTGAACTTGAACTGTAGCTTACTAAATTTAAAAAGTGGACTATTGTTTGGAGACTTTCCTAATAAAAGTGGTTGATTGTGTTTAAGAGAGAGAGAGAGTAATTATGAAATAGACAGGTTCTTGAGGCATTCATAATTGCTTCTATTGGGACATGTTTGTTGGGACTCTGGGTATGTGCTTGGTGGATTCTGCTTGTGCAATATATTACTTCGTTACATGTTTGTGCATCTACCCTTCGAGTTTTATTTCAGTTGCTTCTTGAAGGTCACAATATTTATTTGAGCTTAGAAATAAGTATATTCATTATACTGTACTTGTCTATCATGTTGTATATGTTTTGTAAATGTTTTGAGAAAATTATGAACTGATGATGACCAATAATGTTCCGGTTCATGTTTATAGTTAAAAAATCGATCCATGACTGCTTTAGTAGGTTTATTGTCGCGCATTAAGTGTCACCTAGATCACTGATCTTATTGAGATACTCAAAATTTTCAGTTTTTACTGGTGGGTATGGGTATCTATACATGTATATGATTTTTGATCTTTTTTCCAGTCCCTTTTAAATGGATTGTGGGTAGAGCACAATTGGTTATATAGTTGTGTCCATTACAATGCTTTGCGTAGTTGATATCTTTTGCAGCACTCTCATCTTCCATTCTTATGTGACTGACTTTAGATATTATGATATAGTTGGCTGCATTGTGTACTTAAACCTTGGCTGCATTTTCTAAATTACTCACCCACTGAATTTGGTGCGGTGTCAGGTCAGCCTGGGTTTCTTCAGGCTAGTCAGTGGATATGTATCACACTGAATTTTTGGTTTGCGTTGAGTCCAATTCAGGCCGTGTAAAGTTTGGATAAATTAGTAAAGACTTATAGTGCTAGGTTTATTGCCTTGTATACAATGTACCTTTCGTATGGATGAGAAAGAACAACTTGATGAAAATGAGTTGTCTCACATCTGATTTCATTTTTTTTTTTTTTTTCACTTGAAATCCATTTCAGTTTGTAATTAACAACCTAATATTAATTGTGAGGTTGTAAGGCAATACTCATGTGTATCTGTATGATAAATTGTGAATTGCTGGTAGAGTGTGAAATTTTTAGAACATTTAAGTTGACAAAATTTCAGTAATGAACTTTACTATAAGTCAAAAGCTTATATTACCTGTTTGGGAAGCACCCTATTATTTTGGGATGGCCCACATTGATTCATACCCTTTTATTTGGGGCTGGAGGTAATCATAATCATATTTACCAAGAGTGAAGGTTTTTATTATTATATGCTGTCACTAGGCAGTTATTCATGCATGTCATTTAATCAATTCTTTGTTTTCGATCAATATCTCTTTATGTAAGAGATTGTGGCCATACAAGCACCATCTTCCATCACTACTGGTTTTTGTTGTGAGAGCATTAGTTCTTCTTAACCCTTATTCAATCGCTCAATCTATTGTAGTTTTATTAGATAATAGGTTTGGAGATCCTTATTAGTCAGTTATACAGCTCTTACTGAATAATCTTTATTTGCTTGGAATATTACCTGATAATGATAGTAAGTGTCATTAGTCAGGGTCTAGCTGTCTTGCCATTGCTGTTTTTGTAGTTGGACTTTACTACTGATTATCTTTATTTCATTGGTACCTTTATAGATTTATTATTGGGTGAGTTTTTTCTTAAATTGTATTTTATCGAAATTAAAAGGTGAATTTCTTTTATTCTGCTATATATTCTGTCTCAAAGTTATTGAAGATATCTGGTTTCAGACTGGATGAAAGCTAAGGGAAGGGATTATTATCCTGTAAGCACATTTTTTTTTTGATTTAATGGATATATTGCTGACCCTTTTTTTCCTGACATTGGTTAAAGAATAACTTTTCTCTAGTTTGGAGATCAATAGAAGGAAGCATCCTGCAAAAATTTATTTACTCTTCAGTTATTCTCTCTGTAGTCCAAAGAGTGAAATAAATATTATCTTTGATTAATGACTTAGTGATATCTTTTTTCTTCTCAGGGTTTCTTTTGGGCCTTCTCAGTTCTCCCCGAAACATCAAGTGGCAGCCATCCTGGAGGAACAAACTAAAATGGGCAACACCAAGAACTTTTGTAGCAGCGGGAACAACTTTTGCTAGCTATTGCTCTGTTAATTAATTGCTAGTGAGCTTTGTATTGTTTTCCAGGAAGCATTTGAGTCGAAACACATGTTTGCTGTTATCGACAATGCTTGATGCTGGGGTTTATCCAAAACAAGTACTATATTTTTCTTTTGGGTTAAACTTGTAATATTACAATAATTCTTAATGAAAATGTCTATGTTTATAATAATTAAGAAGTATTTTTATTTGTGAATCAATTTAATAGGAAAAAAATATTATTTTTTTTAGCATATGTAATGCTATTAGTACTGGCCTAAAGTTGTGCCAGTTACTAATAAGGCATAACCTAATGCTAGTTACTAATAGTATGCTTTATAACATGGAAAATAGACTAGTAGTAACTGGCGTTAGGTTAGGCCGGTTACGAATAGTATAATATTAGTAACTAACATTTGCCAGTTACGAATAATTGCCACTAGTTGCAACGGTGGCAATAGCAACCAATAATGCCAGTTACTAAAAGTCAATTTCGCCAGTTACAAATAGCATTTTTTCTACTAGTGTACAAAAGTAGCAACCTGGGGGCAATGCCTGGGCTACTCACTAGTTACTACATTAAAAGTGACTACCATCTCTACGAATTAGCTCAATTATGATGTCATTTATCATCTTACATCTAATTTATACTTAGGATAATAACAAATAATAAGGGAAAATCATTGATGAATAAAATGGGATTAAAATGACATATTACATTTTCTGGTTGAAAAGTGACGTCATAAATTACATTTTCCGATTGATAAAGCCACTTGTTTCGGGGTTTTCTGATGTCCTGCGGGAGAGTTACAATTCCGAGACTGGAACCGGACGCCTGTACCTGCAAAATAACGGAGACTCCTCAGAGCTCCGCCTCCAACGGTCAAGTTAGTACCTGATTAAGGAGTAATTAATACGGAAATTAAAGTAATAAGGTCTCTCTAGGTGAGAGTGTTTAATGTTGGTAATCTGCTTTGTTAGCGAGATCAGCCGGTTATTAGTGTGTTCCGTAACGTTTCTGTTCTTCCTTTTTTTTTCTCTTAATGAGGATTAATTAAGTATTTATAGTCTTGAGAAGCGTGCCACTCTCTAGGTTTAGGGTAAACCTAGGGCTGACCGGGCCTCTAAACAGGATTGGGCCTTGTTGGCCGGTTTCCCATTTGGCATGGGTGGACACGTGGCGTGTCTCAATTGGTCCGTAGAGGACGTATCTGTGATTCACACGTGGCAGGCTTCTATTGGCCTACGTGAAGGACACGTGGCGGAACCTGGTTGGTCCACTTGTCAGACGGTGATTGGTGGATAAAAATCCCCTAATCATTTGCCCCTCACAGGTGGCACGTGACTGGTCACGTGTCACCTGTGACAGGTGCCGCACGGTGACAGGCGACGGCCTGCTACAGGTGTCACCTTGCAAATGGCCGAGAGATTTTCCCGCCCAAATTTTGAATTTGGAAGCGACCCTTCGCCTTCTCACTTTGCCTATATAAGGAAGTGCTGACTTCGGTCATTTTCACATTTGAGAACTTTGCGAGAACATTCGGACCCCTGAACTTGCTCTGACATTTCGGACCTTTTCTGCCTACCGCCTGTTCTGACAAGCCGACTGCACCGAATTTCCAGAACTTCATCAACCGTCACTCGTTCAGGTAACTCAGTTCTCTTACTCTTAATTTTCTTTTTATTTTTTGAAATGGCACCACGGAAGCACACGACACGACCTAAGTTAGTGATCAGCCGGTCACCGGGGACGGCTGAATCTAGGACTAGGAGTGCCGCCTGCCCTTTTCTGGACCCATCTTTGCCCTTTATACAAAGTCCGACTGTATCTGTGTCTATGCAGAACGTGATGGCCAGAACAAAAAAGACTGCTATGATCTCAAACTCGGACGGCTCCTCCCAAAGGGTGCTCATTAGTGAAACATCTGACCAGGCGCCAGATGTAGAAGTGAAACGAGGCGGCTGCCAAGCCGACAGTTCTGAGGGAGGGGTCAAGGTGGTCCCTTCCCATTTCACCGTTGATATGTCTAATTTTCCTCCTGCTCCTTCTAAGGGAGAGGAGGCGGGCCCCTCTGGGAGAGGGGAGGAGTCGTCCTCTTCGGACTCGTCAGAGGACGAGTCCGAGTCCAGCTCTTCTGGCCACGCTTCTCCAGGCTCAGAAGAAAGAAACAGCCGCCTACAAGAGGCGAGGCTTTCTCATGCAGTTGAGAAGGGGGACAATCGGGCGGAGCTGTCCGCCTCTTACAGAGAGGAAAACACCCCCTACTACTGCACGGTACCCCGGGGCCGGATCGCAGCCATGCAAGACAAAGTGGAGAGCTTTATAGCTAACCACAGAATGGGCCCCGAATTTTTACTGTTCGTGCCGGATCCAGAAGACACTGTCGTCTGGCCGGCTGGTACCAACTATGATGACGGCTGCTTTGGCTGCTATGTGGCGGCCATCAAAGCTGGACTGCGCTTCCCATTACATCCGGCTGTTCAGCGGATTTTAGATGGGTATGATTTGGGGTTATGGCAGTTAGCCCCCAACTCTTGGGTAAACGTACTCGGCTATGTGGCCGGGTGCGAAATGTACGGGGTGGAGCCAAGCTTTGAGGCTTTCGCCCACATGAACTATCTCAGCCGGACCCCTAAGTCGGGAGGTACCGGCTGGTATCAATTAACAAGCCATAGGGGCTACCTCATGACGAGAGGTAAGGCGAACAAATGGAAGGATTGGCGGAACACCTTCCTTATCATCGAGGGTTCAGACACGGAGCTGAACAAACGCTTAAACAAGTGGAATAGGGATCCGCCTCTTCTCTCAGGCGGCCGCAGCATGCCGCCTGTTCCCCCAAAGGCTAAAAAAGAGATCCTAGACAAAGGACTCTTCAAAGTAGAGACTAGGGTGAACTCTTCTTCAGGGGTACGAGAGCAAGTACCCCTAAACTGCGTCCCGAGCTTCAAGTGGCTCTATGACGAGTACTTTTTGGCCGCCTGTGGTCTCAGCAGTCGGTGCTCTAGAGGTAGCCGGCCTGACAAATACTCTGTTTTTTCACGCCTTGTTTACTTGGGATCTTTACTAACTTTGCTGTTTATTTTTTGCAGCTGACGCCATGAGTAAAATAACAGCATCCAAGACTGCGGCGGCCATGTTGCGGGCCTCTCTCATGCAACAGTCTTGTACCGACTCCCCCAACAAGGGGGCACCCTTGGTAGGCTTCGAAACTCTTCCTCTTTTAGGAGTTGTCTTATGTATATACTAACTCCAAGAGCTTTTTCAGTCGGGCACTCCAAGAGCTTCTTCCTCGCAACAGCCGGACCCCAAGGCCCGGAGGACGACTGTTGCAAGCTCTCCTGGGTGTTCCAGGAAAACAGTGGCGGCTGAGAAGCAGCCGGCCACTTCTTCTAAAACCCCGGCGGGGCCGCCTAGAAGTATGGACAATTACTTGTAAAAACTTTTACACTTGCTTCCTTCTTGACTAGGTCTAACTTGCTTTTTTACGCTTGATGCAGCCGGCCCTCAGGGGCTTGACTTGGTAGAGGTAGCCAAGTCCATGATCAAAGTAGTTCCTCCATCTGAAAGGGAGGCGGTCAGGGGTGTCGGCACCCTTGACCTTGATGGGATTGCAGGGGTCCTTGCTGAGGTATACTCTTTTGAGTATTTGAATTCCAGGACGCCTGTTATCTTTTTTGTTTGGAAACTGACGCCTGTTGTTTTTTTTGTACTTAGGCCCTGCTCCGAGTTAACGGCCTTCGCAAGCCGCTTGATCGGAAAAACAAAGAGGTAAAGGCTGCAAAAGCTATGGCCGCCTCTGACTGTGACAAGGCAATGTTTCAAATTGCCCAAAATGAAGTACTGACCATTGATATTCTTTATTATCAGGCGCAGGCTACCGCCGCTGTTCGGGCTCAGTTAGAGGCGGCCCAGAAGAAGAATGACGAGCTGGAGGCGACCATCACAAATCTTAAGGCCGAGCTGAAACCTCTTCGCCAAAAAATGTACTCTTACGAAGCCATGGAGAAATCCTTGGCCAGCGTAAAAGAACGCCTGGTGAGCCAAGAGAAGAGTCTTACCCAAGAGCTCTCGGAAAAGGCCGAGCAAGAGAAGAAAGAGCTCGTCCGGGAGATGATGGAAGACTCCGCTCAAATCCAGCGCATGACCTGGGGCCGCCTGTTCCCCAATGCCGACTTTGCCTCTTGAGAAAGAATGTACCGCCAGTATTCGGAAACATATAATCAAGAGATCCTGGCGGCTGCTGAAGAAGAGGCATTGGGAGAAGCGTTGGAGGAGGAGGAAGAGCCGGTTGTGGCGATTGTGCCACTTGGGGGTAAGGCATCAAAAGAGGATGCAGCTGAAGCCGAGTCCAGCAAGAAGAGTGCTGACCAGGCGGCAGCTGCTAATACTGAACTGCCCCCTTCTTAAGCTTGATGTATTTTTTCCACGGCCTGCGTGCCGTTTGCTTTGTATTTACCCGGCCAGGGGGCCGGGGCTTTGAATATTTTGCTGGTCTTTAATGACCGGCTTATTTTTAATGAATTTTTGTTTTGTTTCAAATTTGTCCAAGTATTCCATATCTAATATCCCATTGTTTACTAGACCGACTGTTGTACATGGCCGAACGTTGCAGACAGGTACGGATAGTTAGTACGCCGCCTATGCCCCTGGACGACTGGTTGTCTGTTTCCAGGATAGACGATCAGTCGGCCATTTATTCAATCGGAATTCGAACCTAGCAAGAGTAGTGGTTGAGAGCCCCTGTTTGTTAAAAACAGGCGGACGACTCATACCTTTTAGGCTCCATACTAAGTTTGAGTGACTATTAAGTTAACATAGGAGTTACTTAGTCTTCGTCACAATCTAGATTGAGTAGTAGAGGTACCAGGCGGCGGAGGCCGGCTGATCCTCTTGATTTGCCAATGTTTGTTGGCTATTAACTCAATAGGTTACCTAGTAGGAACAGGGGTTTGAGTGCCCTTGTTTGTTAAAAACAGGCGGACGACTCAAACCTTTTAGGTTCCATACCAAATTTGAGGGAGTGACTATGAGTTATCGTTGGAGTTACTCAGTCGCCGTCACTTTTTTTTGAGTAGTAGAGGTACCAGGCGGCGGAGGCCGGCTAGACCCCTTGATTCGCCAATGTTTGTTGGCTATTAACTCAATAGGTACCCCCTGTATTTATCCCAAGTAATACAGG